ATAGATGTGGTGCTCGAGGACGTGGTTTAGTGGTGGACTTGGCAGTGCTGGATTAACGGTTGGACTCGATGATCTTAAGGGTCTTTTCCAACCTTGACGATTCTATGATTCTATGAAATATAGGTCTTTTATTTTTCACTGGAGTTCACTCAAGGACAAAATCTGTGTCTAACACCTCTACCCTGTCCAGACGGGCTGCACCGAGACCGGAATCGTCACCCTCACCTACTGCCGCCATTTTAAGATGTTCTCTTACCGTGACAGGGAGCGAGTTTACAGACCCTCGCTGACTCTGGCTTTTCCCCGTCGCACTGGTCGCCAGCACGGCACAGGATCTGCCGGGTCTCCGTCCCCTCCCCGCAGGTCACAGAACACTGCAAAACAGACACAAGGCAATTCAGGACGCTCAGCTTCCGCAGCAACGTGCAAAAATTAACGTGGCGAAAACAGCCCACGGTTGGCTTTCAGGTCAGGCTGTACAGTCCAGCAATTTGTTTTGAAAGTAGACTTTAGTGAAGGCTGACGTGATGGTGAAATAGCAGAGCAGGATGGTATTTTCCTTGGTTCTTGCTTAAATTTATTATTAGAGCATATTATGAATTTTGCTACCGATTCTTCCTGTAGCCGATACCTGATCTTAGCAGTGCAACATAAAGAGAATACAGAGGAGGGAGGAAGCTCAGTGCTCGCCGAGTTAGCTGTAGGGCTCAGCTGTTTGCTCCCAAGTCATTCTAGCAACATCAATGCTTGCAGAGACTCTGCCATTCCAAAACTGTCCGAGCTGGTAAAAAATGTTTTGCTATCCTTAGAGTTGGAAACTTGGAGAAAAACAAGCCAAATGTCAACATTTGTGTTGCAGGATTGTGTATCTGATATCGTGAACGTTTTTCTTGCCGGTTTCTGGAGAAGTCTGGAGAGCTACGGAAGCCCGTGAAGCTGGAAGGCATTACCTGCTGCAGATTTTCAGCTTTTTGGAGAACTGTCTTGGTGCAGTCCAGAGCTTTCAGCTCCGACTTCGGAGGCACGAGATGTTAGCAAAGGTACGTCACTCCGCGCCGCGCGCTGCTCGCCTTACCTCAGACCAGGGTCCGGCCTTCCACTGCGCGGGGCACGGCAGCCGGTTGCACGGCCTGCGGCTCTCGGGGCGATCCCCGCTACAGTACTTGAAATGGACAGAGCGGTTTGCGCCGTCGGGCAGGGGCTGAATGCAACGCACCGTCCGGATCTGGTAGCCCGAATTCCCGCAGGTTTTTGTGCAGTATTCCCACTCATCTGCTGCCCAGCTGGGAAGTAAAGAGGAGTAAGATAGCATCGCAACTTTTACCTATTATCCATACTGCTGGCAGGTCGGCCAGCCCCGAGTATACAATATTTTTGTGATGAAACCACTCAATAAGATCAGTAACCGTTCTTATACGGGTAGAAAAAACCCATCCACAACGCAGGAACTCCAGTCTAAAAAGCTGTCAGCGTCCTACCAAACTTGGCTTGGGTTAACTTCCACACCTTCCACAAGGAGCAATCGTTCCTCGTTAGGCCAGACATACTTACAGAGGCTGCGTGCACTCCTGAAGATTGCACATTCTGCGAATGGGCTTTGGCTTTTTGCCGGCTTCACAGAAGCTGCGATGAACCATTTTGTTATCGCTTTTCCTGCGGCACCCGTATTTGGTGTACTGGAACCCTGGAAAATATGGCAGAAAAAGCAGGAAAAACAGATCCTTGTTAGAATTTTTGCTTGAAATATAAGTTTTATGGCTTATTAAAGGGTTTTACATGACAGATTTCACTGCGATAGGTTCTTAAGGCCAGAAGGGACAGTTCTGACCCCTTCGGCTGACCTCTGCATTACACACAAATCGTGGCATAAAGAGGGGAGAAATCACTTCCTTAACATCAAGCAGCAGGGCACTGGCTAGCCTGGGAATGAACCCAAGTCTCCTTTCACTGTTTTTGCTACTACCACAACACATCACCTGCTCGACTGCTGTATTCAAGAGTTATTTTGACATTTTCATTCCCCATTCTTTGCGCAAGACTCATGCACACACTGTAAGTAAAGTGAACGCTCAGCAGCATAAATGTCTTAGTCTGTACTTCCAAAGTGGCTTTGGGTACCGAATTTAAACACTTAAAAAGGACTTTTTCTTTCTAGGCTGGAAGTGTGACACTTAAATCATCGGGTGCTTCAGATATTTTAAGCTTGGGCACCCAAAAATAACAAACTGCTTTTAGAAAAAGGAAGGTCAAGATTTCTAAAGCATTCACTCTCCCCACCTTTTCCTCTTCCACTTTTGGTAACTTGCCATTCATTACTAGAAGGTGCTACGTCATCTGTTTACCTCCACCGCAGGGTTTGGAGCACTGCGACCAACTCTTTAACGCCCACTCAAAAGTACCTATTTCTTCTTGCAGGACGTTGTTGCTGTTGATAGTTGGTACCGAATCCTCGTGAATGATGTATTTGTAAGTCAGGCTCGATCTCGTGTCATTCTCCCGAGGAATGATCTATTAATAATCACATGTCAACAGTGGTACAGAACCAGAGCTATTATTTATTCCTTTGCAAAGCAAAGAAACCAAGGCCTGGCTCTTAGGGGAAACATGGAAACTGCTAGTCAACTCATTGGGAAAAACACTGGGTTTGTCTTCACAGTTAGAACTAACAATAGCAAAATCAACACAGAGCCATTTAAAATAAGGTACGTTTCTAGGCTAGCATTCTAAGCTGGCCAAGTAGGACACCATCATCTAGGATAAAAGGATGGTGGGGCCGCATCATTTACTTGGCTGAAGAGCAGGGCTGGTCTCAGACATGGTCCGACATGCAACGCCCTTTTTTTGGTCCACCGAAAGTGTCCCACTGATGTCTGACAATGCGATATTTGGCTTCTGATTGACATATTACCACGGCGTGAACGGGCAGCAGTTTACAAGAGGGTAACCGCTGGTGAGAACACGGCTTCAGGCTCATCGGCCGTCTCATCGGCACGTGTCTTTCCGAGAGGCATTACACAGCCGCGTTTTATCTCGGCACGAGCTCCACGCTGGCCACGCACTTTTTACAGAAGAGAAACCCACCGTATTCCCGCTGCGTGACGTGTAACCTACCAGCACAACCACTGCATCGTGCAAGGGCCCGTCAGTGTGGAGGGTTTCTATGTCGTCTTCTATGTTGTACTCCCACTCCACGCCCAGGTCGATGAAAGATCGGGATCTGGCCTCCTCCCCTTTCCCATTCAGAATATAGTGTCCCGTAGCCTGGTTCTTAATTGCTAAAAGGATTGAAAACAGTGCCAGTGATGCCCCCCATCATATCGTCAGCAGTCACGGTGGCTCATGTGAAACTTGACAGGGGATATTCTAGAAGACCTTTTGCAAAAAAACCCTAACAAACTAGCAAGTGCTATAGATGCGCTGGCTCAGAGAAAGGCCCTCCAAGGCCATCTCTTGCACCCTCCAAATTCCAGTTTGATGACAGACGCATTCGCATATTTGCTTCAGTTTTGTACCTCCTTATCCGCGTGAATTAGATACAGATATAGAACTAGAGACAGACTGAAGCACCTCTTCCTATGTAATGCGCACATCTCCTGTACTAGCTTAGTGCCCAAGAAGCACGGGTAGCGGCAAGGAACTCGGGTCAAATCTTCAAAATCACCCGTCCTCCTCATTTGCATAAGCCCCAGATCAGTATTACTGGGAATGCCG